CTGATTTCAACGATACCAAATATATTTGGCGCAGGTAATAAACAGAGAAGATATAAGAGGTTTATTTGCTTTGTTTACTTATATTTTTTATTATCACTTAGTTCTTAAAACCCAAAAGTAGATCATGATAAAATATGTATAGCTTGTATCTTCTAAATAATATAAATTTCTTTACCATTAATCATGCATTTTTTTCAAAAAAGGTTATTTCACGAAAAAATAACATATGTTCGTTTTTTAGTGGTTTTGGTTTAAATATATAAAAAAAAAAAAATCAATTATGTATATCAGCTGAAAGATAAATTGATTATCTTTATGGTGACGTTATTAGTTTTTTAATCGGTTATGTGGTTCATAAGATATTAATGTTTAAAAAAAATCTAGGAATTTAATTGTAACCTTCTAAAACAACTTTATATTTTACTTGCGATAAATAATTTTGACATGGTTGAAATGAGCGTAAAAAGTTCTATTGATCTGCATTTTTTGTTTTTGCATAGTTGAACGGTCGGTATTCTAGATTTGTTCCAGGAAATGACGAATAACTTAAATTAAAAATCTATTATTTTACGTATTGCTTAGTATTTCCATTAAAACACTAAATATATTGCAAATTCACATATAATTAATAATACACATTTTACTTCTAATTGTATACTTTGCGCACTTTCTTCGTACCTTTCTACTACCGTTTTCGCAAAAGGCGATCACATTCTTCCCCTTTCTCCTACTTCCAAAATACAAATCTAGATAAAGGAGTGTCAAATTTTAGCTGTCACAAAATACATAACCTTGTGTTATTGAATCATGTTGTTTATGTATAATTGTTTAGTTTTTTATGTGCACTTGTCTTTCTGTGCACTTTCTTTCTTACAAATTACAGAAATATTTTTATATTTATAATTGAAGAAATATAGTGTTTTGTGTACTATATTCTTTCCAACAGTATATAGTACGCAGGCCCAAAAAATAGTACAATACTATATATTACTATATGTCGGCCGCTGTGGTGTAGTGGTAAGCAGTGCGCGCTTCCACTCCGCAACGCCTGTTTTCAAGCCCTTGTCAAAGCAACATCGCAAAAAATATAGAAAAGGTTTTTTCTTAACAGCGGTCGTCCCTCGTCAGGCAATGGCAAACCTCCGAGTGCATTTCTGCCATGAAAATCAGCTTCTCATAAAAACACAATCGCCGTTCGGAGTCGGCGTAAAACTGTAGGTCCCTCCACTTTGTGTGACAACATCAAGGCGCACGCCACAAATCGGAGGAGAAGCTCGGCCAAACACTAACATATGTGTAAGCGCCAATCTATTATTATTATTATATATTATAGTACGGTTGGCAACCCTACTTTGAATATTAAATACTACGAAGGGAGCCAAGAGAGTTCTAATTGCAAGTGTATGCAGAAAACAAGATTGGCAGATTGGCAGAGACAAGATTGTATGCAGAAAACAAGTTGGTAAGATTGCATTAAAAATACTAGTGACTTTTAGGCTCTTATTATGAGTTACATTCGATTTTCAATCTTCGCTGTGTTGAAATTTTCGTTGAGTATCGAATTTTCTGTCGCACAGAATTTTGCTTTCGATGGTGTAGCGAAGTGTTAGAAAATTTTGAAAAATGTATGATTTTGCATTTGTTTTCTTATTTTTTGGCGGCTAGACAATAATTTTAAACAATTTTTGTTAATTTCATGCAGTTCTAATGTCGTGAATATTAAACACAAGCTCGAAAGCTTGGTTTTACTTGTGAAAGAAAGTCCCAATACTCAGTGGGAACGCTCTTTGAGAAGAAAAGCGTAAGCTGTTGATAGTTTTAAAATTTTTTAAATATATTTGGCTCACAAACGTCTCTTTACACAGTCGGAAGTTTTTAATAAATCTGTAGACAAATTTCTTAAGTATATTTTATGTCAAAATATATTCGAAAGACTACACTTAGACACTCTTAAACATTTTCTACTCCTGGTCAGATTACCAAGCTCTCATCCACTGACGAATCGTTGAACCAGAACTCTGTTGTACTCATTTTTACCACGTTTTTATAAACTGTTTTAATTAATTTTAATTTAATTTAATTTTATAAACTCTTTTAATTCATTTTAATTTTTTAATTCATTTTAATTTGCACAAATTTACATACATACATATGTATAAGCACACTATTTAGTTTTCTCGATTTGTAAAGAAAGCTTCTCAGCGGTGAAAAATATATTATTGTGAACAAGCGCTATTCTTCATCGAATGAGCGTCATAATACCAAATGAAAATTCGTTCGATCAGCACTTTCGACGACAGACGAAGATCGAATGCAACTCATAATAGGGGCCTTACTTTTACATTTCTGTGTGAGACTGCATTTTCAACAAGTGCTTACATAAACAAGTAGTTTTTAAGCAAAAAACAAAACCGACTTAAATTGCCATAAAACAATTTAAGATTATCTTTAATCTATTCATGATCCAAAAATCGGATTTAAATCAAATAAGAATGGGACCACCTGTTAGGTAACACCTCAGAATTATAGTAATCGGTTAACGTGGTGCAAAGTTATGCAGTAACATATGTACATAAAAAAAAAAATTATAATAAAACCTTCTCCTTTTTGTGCAGTCGGTTAAAAACAAATACACCAGCAAGCTTTCAGCGTCAAATGATTTCAGGGTAAAATTGTCAAAGCTCCCAATAAACTTAAAGGAAATAATGAAATCATCAAAACAATTTCAGTCCTTACATTAAAGCTAAAGGAGCATAAATTTTGCAATATGTTTTCTTGTTTTCGTAGACATTTCAAGAGTAGGGGTGCCGCGAAATTTGTTTAGCACAACAAGGGTGCCAAGGTGAAAAAAGTTTGGGAACCCCTGGTCTAACCATTTCAACATTTGCTGATGACACAGCTATCCTAAGCAATAGTTCAGACCCTAAAGAGGCTTCTTACAAGCTGCAAGAATTTTTGAATAAGTTAGAGCTATGGCTAGGTTCTTGGAGGATAAAGGTTAACGAAAGCAAGTGTGTTCAGACAACATTTACTTTGAAGAAAGAAATTTGCCCACCACTAAAAATAAACAGCAATGCTATGCCACAAAAAGATAGTGTCAAATACCTTGGGATGACACTAGATAGAAGACTTACCTGGAAAAAGCATATAGAAACCAAAATTTCTCAAGCGAAACTAAAACAAGCAAGCCTTCAATGGGTTATAGGACACAAATATAAATTAAGCCAAGATAACAAGATATTGCTCGGGCTTGTTCTTAGCCCGAGATATGAAAGAAGACTAAAAAGAAAGGATTTCTCCGATATTATCAAATGATGCGCAATATAATAAATTTCGATATCTGCAATATATCAATTTCGGCCTTACAGACCGACTGACCAACACCAGTGTACTTAAATATAGAGAAGCGAAGGCGCGGCGTGGAAACTAGTCCTTTCCACCCGCCCAGGCAGTGCGGCTGTGGAACTCGTCTTTTCAGACCGCCTGCCCAGCACGATATCCAGCGATCCTGCTGCTCGGAATCTTGTCCATTCCGACAGCCGCAACAGCTGTAATAAATATATATGTATGAAAAAATAAAAAATTTCTAAGCATTGCCGCAGAAATTTTAAATTTAATAGTAGTTTGTAAGATTTGAAAACTTATTGTTAGTTTCGAAAGAAAGATTCAATAAATAAATACATATTATAAAAAAAAAGTTATTATTGTGGCGCACTAATATTTACTTTTGAGCAATGTTTTTTGAGCTTTGCACCACGAAATTATAGCTGCTATTTCGGAGATCACCTCATCTCCTCATCAAACTTCTTTTTCTAGACTTCACACGAATCGAACCCGCATCATCGTTGTGCTAAGCAAGCAGCGCTAACCACTGATCTATGCACACCCCGTAAACTCCTCTAATCCATTTCCTTATTCAACCTCCTACTATCAAGTGCAGCTGATTCGCCGCTATTCAAACATGACAGCGTAGCGTGGTTGTTAATGTTTCGAGTTTTAAGGGTTTAGTTATGACCTTTGTTAGAAAAATTATAACCGTTTCGGCCCCTGATTTAAAGTGATATGAAAATGATTTTATATGCATTTTTTTACTTTAACTTCTTGCTAATGGTGGTATCGGTTTTTCTAAATACTAAAGATTTTATTTTAAGCCTTGAACGTAAATCGAGTTTATTCAACTTCATTAGTGGAATTACTTAATATTGTTTCCTTTCGTTTTGATAATAAATTAAAGTAAACTTTATGTTAGTGTAATTATCCTGAAAAACACTTAACATACGGTGCGCATAATAAATATCACTCCACTTTGATGTACATTTAATAATGTAAATCGAGTAAGAACTCCGATTTTTATTGATAAAGCTGTAGTTTTCAAGTAATCATCAAATAATTTTCAAATATTTATAACATCTAAATGTTTGCTGGGTGTATTCATATATATGTAGACTACTATATAAAATAACAAGCTTCTCTACATGTTTTTTGCCTATATCAAAAACTTATGTAACATTTATTCAAATATTAGCTGTGTTTCGTTTGACGCATATACGAATGTAAGTACTTCTACGTATCTTCAATTAAATTTTGTGTGGAATTTTACGTGCACTTATTAACCCTCCTTAGGCGCAATATGGTGAGTGTCAATTTCAGGCGCAATGTGCCTAACTGGCACTCTTTTAAAAAGACATAAGTAATAAACACACAATTATATTGTTTATACATCTGGGAAATGCTGGCACCGCGATTGGCCATGTGAAAAAGAAATAAATGTAAAAATCCATTTGTTTGACACAAATTTACCAACTACTACAAAAATCAACCACCAACTACTACAAAAATAAAGCTAAAAAATCCAAAGGTAAAACATGACACGTAAAATAGTTAAGAAAAAATGCCAGTATTCCATAAAAATTCAACTTTGGGACATTAAATAATAGCTACTTTTAGATAAATACAAAAATTTTAAAAAGTAATGTAAAAGTTTTTCTAAAAATACTTACTTTAATACATGTGATGAGTTTGGGCGCAATGAGCTTCTCAGATCAAACTCTGCATAACGTCTCGTTGTGAGGGTCAAACAAAAACTGAATGGTTTTGCTGTATAGAGCACTTCAAAACAGGCAGCTACTGAGCGTAAGCAAAGTTAACGGTGTAAATCGGGAAGACGAGATAAAAAAAATGTGCTGGATGTGCCGCACAGATCATTTGCGCCCGACGAAGGGTTAAATAGTTGTCGATAAAATCTAAATGATTTTTGTGATTACTCAACACTTCAACTTAAGCTAGAATCGAAAATATTTTATTTTTGTATTTTCTTTTTTAACAGTTTGACATTCGCTACCTATAATGCAAATACAAAATAATACTAAAAATAATAAAATAATAATACAAAAACGAAAATGTGGCAAGCGTTATTCTCTTACCGCTCTTAACTTCGGAAAGGCCGTAACTTATAAATCTAAAAAAAATTATGCTACGGAAAGTTAAGTTTTAACCAACCGCCAACACAGTATGTAGTAAGAAACAAGGCTTTGTGTACTGAAAAATTACGCGTTTGTATGTGTATGCATGTGTGTATATAGACATACACCCATACAAATAACAAACGGCGAGTATTATTGATGGGTAATATAGAGCACGAAACCCTGCAAAAATAGTTGGACCATATAGTCTATTTGTGGCATATTGGAGTACTTACAAAAGTGCTCCTCTGTCATGCTGTAGCGGACCAACTCGTGTCTCTGCACCTTCTTATTGTTACCCGATCACTGCTCGTGTTTTAACGAAATGTGATTGAATTTGAGAATTTGAAAGCACATTTGCATGTCTGGCTGTAGCCGAACGTGTAGAGATGCTCACTATTATTTGTGTGCTCCCAGCAGATTCGGGTTCAAAGGCCGTCAGAGGCAACATGTAATTTTTTATTTTTGTTTTTGGTTTTAATAGATTGCGAAAAGGATCTGTGCAGTGAAGAACAAAAGCATGTACAAACGAAAAAGAATATCAACAATGCCATTGTTAATATGTTGGAGTAGTTTTGTGCTACTCTGATGTAACGCAGAGCTGGAGTATATCCCTAGAATACTAACGTTATTTTTTATTCCTTTAATACTAACGTTCGCTCCGACCTAGAGCTACCGGAAAGACCCTCCAACCACAGCGGAGCTCATCAATAGAGTTTTGATTGCTTAATAAACGATAAACCAATTTACATTAAACAAACAAATAAATAAAAATAAACTTAAAATTTACTTAAAAACGTCAGTCAGTTTTTTTTCTTTCTATCTTTCTTTCGAAACTAACAAAAAGGCTTCAACTCTTACAAACTATCATTAAACTTAAAATGTCTGTGGCAATGCTTAGAAAGTTTGGTATTTTTTACATATATATTTATTGAAGTTGTTGTAGCTGTTGCGGTTGTTGCGGCTGTGGGAATGGACAAGATCCCGAGCAGCAGGATCGCTGGATATCGCGCTGGGTAGGCGGTCTGAAAGGACGAGTTCCAGAGCCGCACTGCCTTGGCGGGTGAAAAGGACTAGTTTCCACGCCGCTTTCGCTTCTCTATATTTAAGTAATTACAATCCAGTAGGCTGTGTTCGGTCGGAAAGGACAAGTTTTCGAACCGCACTGACACTGTTGTTAGGTGGTCGGTCTGAAAGGACGAGTTCCAGAGCCGACATTGATATATTGCGGATATCCACATATATTATATTGCTCATCATTTGGTAATATCGGAGAAATCCTTTCTTTTTAGTCTTCTTGCATATCTCGGGCT